AAGATGAGTAGAGCATAATTTCATCCCCCTTTGGCTTAACTATTTTCATTTGAGCGCACCTAAGTTAAACGCTGCCCTCACTGGCCAACCGTGGGGTTGATTAGTTCCCTTTTCTCGGTGTCGCGGAGACGCGGTGACCCATATTTACCAATGGTAGAACCGTTTGGAGAAGTTCCTTCATGTTAAATTCTTAGTTCATTGACCTTTCCAATCTGCAACCGCGTCCCAAAATCATAAATAAAGACAAACAGTTAGCAGCTATCCACTTTTTGGGTCAAAACATTTGTCTCAGAAGCAGTACAATCACCCTTAAAGAGGCTTACATTCTCAAAAAAACACTTGGATTTTATGTGTAATTGGAGTGCTATAAGGTGGGCGTCACTGAATGAGCAGTCATTAATCAATGACTAATATTGACAACTTGATAAATCACAGAAGTAACAGGGTGTTGGTCGAACAGGGACCAATTGGAGCAGTGGTTCTGATTCATCTAGTATGAGCACATGGCTTAAATCAGCAGTTAGAAAGGTACTTATTTTATTTGCTTCGTTCTGCAGCTTTTGGTGAATTATCGTTCCCCATAGCGTCTCTGTCGTGTGAATAGGAGGATGTAACCATGTACCAGTCAGCACAGCAGTCTTAGTAGGGCGTATACCCGCACATGTACACCGCATGTACAACACACCACACATGGGGGATAATTTATGTGATACACTGACTTTGCCCCAACCCCATTGTGTGTTTACGACCTTGCGATTTAACCTCCCACCCCATTCTGTCCACACCGGCGGCATGGCAACTGCTACTGCATACACGCATGCAGTAGAAGTAGCAGGCGTGCCTGAAGGCATGTGGGAGTGCACCCGCCCACACCCATTGTGTGACCTCCACACGTCCGCACTAGCGTGCATGTGACGCGCACACACCACCATTATCGATCGACCTACATAGCCTAGCGGCTGACCGAGAGGGCATGCGCGTGCGAAAAGGGTGTGCGGCCGCAAATTCGGGTATTCGCATGTAGGTAGGTAACCCGTTCGTTTTCTTGTATGCGTGTTATGCTGCTGCTAGTGGATCAGCCATTCAGCTAGTCAGTCAGTCAAAGCTACCTGACCTTTATAAATGGCCTTTTTCGCCAGAAAGGTTAACTTTCTCTACCCTTTTTAGGGGTCTGGAGAAAGGAAATTTTAAACTTTTATGATATGTGAGTCAAGGAGACCTCACTTTAGATGTAAAAAATAACTAAGCTAGATCATATCCACTTCATTTTTTGGGTATACACCTTTTCAATTTACATGATTAGCTAAGCCTCGCATGCGCATCCACTTCACATGCCTAGTGGTAGTAGATAACGTCAACAAATCACAACGATTGTGACCAAGGTCACTTTCACAGTTCACATCATACTCCTAGTCACGATTAATTTAATCATACATCAAGCAGTCTACAGATTACACAAGTCTAGTAATGGCGTAGCCTTTATTTCGCGTTAACCCCAAGCACACCGGCTAGATCCCATTCACTTATTTATTTATCATATGGTTATCTAAAAATGTATTGTACAGGAATTGTGTCATATGTGTTAAAATAAGGTTGACCCTTCTTTGACCACGGTTAAATTTATGCTAGAGGGCTACAGATTCGCCTAAGGCCAGTCTGTTTGGCGTGAACACGTGCAGGCAAGGTCATGAGTTATCTCCGGAGCCTCGCGTGCACGCAGGTGTGCACGCACAAATGACTGCTGTCTAAGCTCACCTGACCCTGGACGTCACCTAGGTTGCACTTCTTGTGAAGGTGATCGCACTTTTGATGCCCTTTCGTATACTCAAAAGACCGTCGTCGCACTACTTCATTCAGTGTGTTAGCCACGGCTGCAGAAGCTGTGCGAGTACGGCCCGAAACGTCCCTTCACCTCTCTCTGGCGATTTTGCCACCCTACCTTCTGATGTATCCTTCTTCAACTAAGCTACGTACGTTCACCATGAACTCTCAATATTTCACGTTCTGTTTATAATAAGCTTTTTAAATTTACAATATCGATTTTGTCTAACTGATATAGTTTTGTCAAATGATCAAGAGGATTGGCAGGGTAGAAGTAGTTGTTTCTATAATGTAATTACGTTTTTTTAAAAGGACTTCATTGGTATTTCAAAAAACCAAATATGTATACAAATCCATACTAATCGGCACGACCCTCAAATGCAGACATATAGGAGTTCAAAAGGGCCCACACGCTTCGATGCCACTCGTGTGTCAAGCATCAGACATCGCACCTGCCATTACCGAGTCTTTACTTGCCATAGTTTTGCGGCAGAAGAAACGGTATTTAGGCTGTTATCGTGGTACATAGATCATTCACATATACTAGAAAACAGCTCCCTTCATTCACTGACCTTGAGACACTCATTCCAAAGATACATGCAATTCCTGGTTCAGTAGTCAATTCTATGATTTACTGTGATCTAGCCAATGATTACAAACATAAATTCAACCTCTTGGTTTGATGATTATGGCTTACTTGATTTCCTTTTGCCTTTTTTACTTTTGTTTTAAAAACAGCTAACCTTATAGTTTGACAAGGTTGATTCCTTCTCAACTTTGTATCTATGGGAATAGTTATTTGAAATACGAGGCGTGTATGCAAGATTGTTGATCTTTTCTTTCTATTTTAGAATAAAGAAGTAGTCCACTCACCATTAATAAGCCCAAAAGATTCAATAATTCTCTCACATGCATACACACACCGACACTATAGAGGTGAATTCGTTTTAGAATCATAAATAACTTTATCGCCTGTCGAGCCATCTCAGCCGTTCTCTAGTGATCTTTCAGCGATTGTAGGCGGTCTGAATAATTGCGGCTGTCATTTTAAATCCGATTGTGTTATTGCTTTAAAAATGATTGAACCCTCTATATTCGGATTAGAATGTTTCTCAGCATGATGCAAAAATGCACACCTGCCCCTAAACTCTTGGCTAAATTGTTTCTTAGTGAATATCAGCAGGGTTGAAAGTTCACCCACGTGGAGCTTAAAGAAAGAGAGTAACAAATTTTAAGGTGGTCAAGGGGGCATGTGAGCACCACTCAGCAATCTTTTTTCCCGAAGGACGTGCACCCACATTCCTTCATTGTTAGTGACTTGACTTTCATGAAGGTAGAAATGCAAATAGGTCAACCTCTGATATAATTAGCAAAATTTTGGTGTACAACACTAGCATATAAAATGGTAATTTTGCATTTCGGTAGATGCCTAAATATTACTACTTTCTCCATCCTTGTGAAGCTCTTTTACTACTGGCTTAGTCAATTCCTGGGGTGGAATTCTTCTTTGAATACATGTGACAGTAGGAAAAATACGTCGGCACAGCTAGAATGTTTAAATTAAGATCCGGTTCCATAGCATTAATGCTTAATAGAGTGATTGAAAATGATAACTCAGTGATCAGATAGGGTGTTTTTTTTTCTAAAAGTTGCGTTTAAAATATTATTAAAGAGGTACTTTAACAGAATGAACAGCTAGATTTCCGCAGTAATGGGTTGTTGAACCTGCTAGCTAACAAACTCCCATGGATTTCTGATGGCTGGTTCACACCTCAATTGGTTATCATGATTGATTTAGCTAGCAGTAACTGGTGGGGCTGTCATATAGTAATTCTCGCTCTCCACTTGATTTATTCTTTTTCTGAACCCACTCAGTAAGATTGGTGTGCAAAGGTCACCATGATTGGTATGTTAATAAACTCGCCTACCCCTCCATACATACACACACACATACACACCGATGCATTTGCAAAGCTCTGCTTCTTTAAAGTTATTGGATTATCAATACACAGGCACAGATACACATGCAAGCACACACACACACACGTATGTGTGGAGTTACGCGCCTATGTGGAGTAGCGGGGGTTACCCAGCCGAGAAAAACTACCTGAAGTTAGGCGTGTATTAATTTCTCCCACGACAAGACCCTTTTGCGTGCGTGGAATCACATAAAGTCTATTTTAAGTCAACTAATGAGAGTAGAGAGGCTTGGTGCTAAAATCGCAGTTCCCTCAAAAATTGGTGCTTCTTGGAAAATAACGCCAGCCAGACACAGGTAGAGCCACACTTTATCCTGTACCGAGCCTCGAATTTCACCGGGCAGCTCCAATGACTGCCATTCTCAAATTTAGCAAAAATAGAACTAAAGTGTTCCTCGTCATACCTCTGGAATTCCTAATCTCACGGAAGTTAACTTATTCACCTACCATATTTTCCAGTGGAAAAAGGAATAACTTATTTTTAGAGCTAGTTACTAATCCCAACTGCTCCAGAAGAGAATAGAAAAAATATCGGCAATTTTAGGCCTCAGAGGAAGGCTAGATTGAAGGCACGAAGTGCAGTTCTGGACATTACCGAAATTGGGTTCAAATACTATTGCCTTTGTGATTCAGATGTGTCAAGGTGATTAAAGCAAGATGATAGACAATATCTTTGGCAGAAATGGCCTAGGGATTAGGATTGGCGTGCCAAACTCAACGGCTAATTCTGATTGAAAGCTCCAACTTTATTTTCACAGCAATAGCAGCAGCAAGTCTCGTAAATTTCCTACGCTCTGCCACGGTTAACTATTGACCGAGGCGCTGACTAACTCGTAGCAAGGTTGAGGCAGAGAGAGGCGATTGGCGAAGAGGCAACCAGGCAGGCAGGCAGGGTGGGTAGAAGAGGGGGGGTGAGGAGAAGGGGGGAGGCCAGCAGATGGGCGTTGTGAGCGCAAAGGTCATAATACAGCAGCAAACGTGCGTTGTGCGCGCCCACTTGCCCAATTCGCAGCACGCACTCTCTGTTAGGCAAAAGAGACGTACAGACATGTCGCAACTGGTGCGCACACGCACGTACGCGGGGATGCACACGCACGCACGTACATGCACACAACCACATGAGTCAAAGGTCGGGTTAACCAACGAGAGCGGGTCAGGAACGCATACGTGCGCACATACCAAACATACACACGCACTTGCATGCACAAGTCAAAGGTCGGTGCGTGTGCGTACGTGCAAGCACAGTGAAGCGCATGCATGCTATGCACACAATCATAAAAAGCAAAGCGCGTATAGGACGAGGTCAGAGCGTGTGCGCACGCAGTAACGTACGCACGCAGGCAAGCCTGTTTTGTCTCGATCTCGCTATTGCTCTCTCTCGCATACGCACGCCCTCTCGCTCTCCGTTGTGTGCGCGCTCTGTAGCATTTGCCTCCTGGCGTGGTTTACGTTCGTTTGTCTGCCTGTCTGCCTCGTACGGGGATCTTTTTTCAATTCGCTGATAACCACGACCAACAGGGCGGTAAGTATGATCCCCTTTAAAATCATCTTGCTCTCCAAATTGTGATAACACTACCCCCAGTCATTCCCACCTCCAATTATTGGGATGATACTTGCGCGTTTGTGGTTTGGTTTTTGTTCTTGTTTGACGCCTTCTCTAATCTTTTCACCATTTACACATTAACCTTACAAGGTACCTAGCGGAACCAATGATTGCATGTCATTATAGTGCGGACCAACTCTAAGAGCATGTGCGCATTTAATCACCTCAAAATTTTAATGTCTCACCACTGAGGTGCGGCTGTGCGGGCGATTTTGCCATGACAACAGCTTTCCCCTAATGTGGGAAACTCATCTGTCAATTGTAATTTGTTATTCAGATAGGAAAGCGACCTTGGTATCTTTTGTCTGTGGAAGTGTACCCATTCTTAACAGCTATGTGCTCTGACGCTCTTGTGAGGGGATCAGGACACTTTGTTTCCCTTCATTCACTATCCTTAAGTAAAACAGCATGTATATAAAATTAATCCAACCAGAAAAGTAGAATATGGGTACATTTCCATATTATTATATCGAATAGTTATGTGGATAGCCTGCTACTTTTACTCGGGGTCATAGGACATTGGTGCTGGCACACTATCATGAAATGGACGATTCTGAAATATTCCATATTTCGATTATTGGCTGATCGACAGGTTGGGGTTCATGGGGTTAAGGGGTCAGTACTTGTCCAATTGTCAGGCCCGAGTCGGTGACTCACGAGTAAGGCGGGTCCGAGTGAACTAGGTTCCACAGTGCGCCAACATTATCAGCAGTTTATAAGTTGGCTTGTGGGTCAAACGTGCAGCGGATGTGTGTATGTGCATGACAATGTGGCCTATTCCGCCACTATTGGTTGCACGGACGCTCTCACTCTCGCGCTAACCCTGACTTGTTTTTTTTTCTGACGCAGTGGAGCATTTTGACCCATTTTCTGGCCAGGCTGTCTGTGAGAAATCAGCTCTGCTGTATCTGTCGTGCTGAGGCTTATCGATCGTGCTTAGTCAAAGTTAACACGATTATCCCGCTTCGATCAGTCCAGCGTGCGTACGCGCTCATTCGCTACGTGGTGGATGTCCCAAACCCTCAAGTCTGCTCTCAATGGGACAGAAGAAGGGTATCCGGCCTAGCGCTTTTTTACGATTAGCACCTTCTCTCCTCTCGACTCCTGCTCTAAGTAACTCAGTTCTTCCGAAAATTTGGAGAGTCGATGCCCTATTGAAACCTCCCCCCTCCACTTGGGTTCACACAACTGATATTGAATCGAAGGGTTGTCAGGTTGACTCCAAACAGTTGTTTTGGAGGAGAGGCGTGAGTATGGGGGCAGAAACCACGGATTGCGGAGACGCAGTAGGAGCCCATGGCAGAGCAGGACCTATCGATTGATCTACCGGTTGCGCGCTCACATAGGTCAAGCGTGAGTGTGCGTGAGTGCATCCAACTCGATTTTGCGCCACCCCTATTGGCTACTTGGACTCGCGTTCATTCCACTTTATTTTTATCACGTCGCTGGGACTCTTAGCCACCTCTTGACCATGCCGTAGTTGGTAAAGTTGCCGGCTTTAACCTCACAAAGCGATTGCGCGGGAAGGCTCGGCTTGCATATCTACACGCCGGGAAAAATGAAACGCTTGCTCAAGTCAACTTTTTTTCTCACCTGAACGTGGTCTCATCGAGGTCTAAACGTTATTTATCCACATTGAGGTTTCCCCCTTTTTCAAGGCTTTTCAGGCCATCATCTGCTTCCAAGAAGAACCACCCTCAGAGTACCGTTGGCGTCATATCGATCTAACCTGTAGAACAACTCCAAACCTGCTTTAATTGATTAATCAAATGCACAATTCTTGATACTATTAAACCATTTGTTTGAATGGTCCACTTTTTTTGCCTAAAAATTACATGAACAACTTTTTTTTTTTTTGCGCTGAGAATGTGTCATTGTTAACGTCGGAACAAGTGCCACTTTTGTCATACCATTATTAAGAATCGTTACAACTACCTGGGTTGTTTCCCCATAAAAACCTCTCTAGGCTTGGATCTCATGAAAACATTTATCTGCGCACTAGGACCTTCACGCTTTTACTCAAAAATCTATTTCTGTGGATAAAGCATGGACCCATCTTTATCCCCACGTCATTAATATCTCGAGTGTTTTGTGATGGACAAGTAAAAAATTTGCTGTTGTGTAGGGGACCAACGGTACACCTCGGGCAAAGTGCGAACTACTTTGGGCATGCCCACCACTCTAAGGTCGAAAAAGAGCAAAAGTCCACGGCCGAGCATGAGTATCGATGTGCAACAGTCACCCTCCGCAGAAACAAACCTTGCTCCGACACAAGCAGCGGAACTCGCCAACGCCTCACAAACCCTCGCCTCACTGACCGAGAAGCTAATGGAGAGTGGAGCTGCTGTTGCTGCGGCTGCTGGAGCAAGGATTGCGACGACGACAGTGACCGATACTGCAACCACCTCACTCAACGACTGCTTCACCGCGATCGCGTCAAAGCTGAACCAATCAGCAGAGATGCCCAATGGTGGGTCGGCGAGCCCGGAGACGAAAATATCTAGTGCGGATCTCTGCAAATTGCTGGGCAGCCTTGCAGTTGCTGGCCCGATGCCCGCGGTTGCCACGGCGAACGTACATTTGCGTTCCCTGTTGGGGAGTAGCGGGGGCACCACAGCCACCACTACCACCACAACTGCTGGTGTGCCCGTGGTGAAACCGGAGGTGTCCACTCCTAGTGTGAGCAACGGGCAGTTGCTCCAGCTGCTGCGTACCTCGCTGGCGACGACGCCTACAGACTCCTCCCTCCCCGTGAACGGGGCCTGTCAGTTGTTGAGCATCCCATTCTCACCTCCTACTCTCCCCATTGCCGCTGCTGCGCAAGCCATTCCTCAGAATGACATCTATCTCCTCCTCCAATCGGCCATTCTTCGTCAAATGGTGTGTTTACTTCTCACCTGTACTTGTATGGGGTATCTTGCGTAGCCTCTTGATTTAGCATTGATCCTTTGGTGACCTTATGAAGTTATGATTTGCAGTACCTGCCACATGGCAGTGGTTGCTGTTGTATTCATCAACCCCATAGCCTCAACTTGTCCTTGCTACACACAATGCTATGAATAATACGTCATATTAACTGGGGAATGTGTAGGTGTGCTTTCACTCCTTCCAAGTGCGAACCACACCTGTTCATCCATTTTTAAGTCGTAAAATCCCACCCAAATTACTCACGAAGTAGTTAGAAGATTTGGTGTGGAGTTTTCAATCGCTCAACTTTACAATTTTGAAGACGGGTGTTTTAAGACAATGGCAGCCTAGTTAATCTAATTAGCCTCGCGACTTGTTCAGGTCAACCACCTATCACACAACTCAGACCTCTAATATATGGAAGATCCTGTGTGGTATAGATTCTTTTAATAATCATCTCATTGGGTCAACGTGATTACTGCGGAATAGCAACTTTTCTCTACCATAAGGTGAGGCGGATCCTTTCATCTGTTATACTGTCAATGCCACAATCCAGTTCACATAAAGCTGAAATTCATAGCAATATTCTTTTGAAAAAGGGCTTCAATCAAGCACCATTGCGTGCGCACTACGTGTGCTTGATGATGTTTGTCTAGTAGACGCCACATTACGACCTCCGCCCTACCGCAGCCTTGTGATCCTGTTGTTTCGATTTGCATGCGTGACCTTGACATGACCAATGGGACCTCGGTGTTTATCACATTGTTTTTCTCCTCCAATCGAATTTGCAGTGACCTGGTACTGTGTGTATGTATGCACGGTGGATTTAAACATCTGATCAATCGGGATGCACTAATTGATAATGTCCAACATAATGGCATCTGCAAAACAGACCGAGGTTTAAATAGGGAAATGCAACTTGTATTTGTTATTAATTAGTTCAAACTGTACTCTTGTAATTTTTACCACAAATGCCTCAGAACCAGACTAACTTACTTTAAATGGACTTGGTGGTCTCATGAACTGATCCTGCACAATGCAGCCCCTGCTGATCAAATGTCAGTCACGTGAGTTCCGTTCGTTTTGCGCCAGCATTGAGATCAAACGATCAGACAACTCATCATACGCAAAAATATGTCTGCACTAGACTCACCATCCGCTGCGTTGAAATGGTATCTCGCATACGTGAGTATAGACCCATTGTGTAGGAAGTTATGTCCAAATGTTTTCTGCCCAGCAGCAACAACAGACTGCAATCCTCGGAGGAGCGATAGAGCCACAGACTTCTGGTGCAAGCTTCTCTGCCACCCACAACGTTGGAGCCGCCTTCCCCCCCACCGGAGTGTACGGACTGCCCACTGCAGCACACCCATCTCAGACGGTCTCCACTACGGGAGAGGTCGGTGGTGGTGGCGGTAGCGATGGTGGCTCGCTCGATTCGCTGATGTTGACCAATCGTCTCCAACAGACTATCGCTGCCCTTACCGCCACCTCTGCTGGTGGGTCGAGCGCTCCCCCCATAGCCCTCCTCAGCCTCGAGCCGAATCCCTCCGCACCATCAATGGTTACCATCACCTCGTCCCCCGCTCCGCCGCCGCTCCCGCCCAATCCTCCCTCAGCTGAGCACCTCATGGCCGCACTGGGTATTCTGGGTCTTGGCGGTGGTGGCGGCGACGGCAGCAGTGGTGCAATTAGCTCCCCTGCGCCCGGCTGCGTGAACAGCGCCGTAACCGTCACCACAACCACAGCGACCACTCCCGCTAACATTGTTAATGCCAGTGAGCTGCTGAACCAGCTGTACAGTGTGAAGCAGGAAGAAACCAAAAGCTCCGAGGAGTCGCAAGAGGGTTCTGCTGCCGCCTCAAAGGCCTCGACGACTCTGGCACAGGCGACGGTACTCGGACCGCTGCCGCCACAGCCCTCTACAGTCAATAGTTCTACCATTGCAACGTCGACAACTTTCTCGATTCGTGGAGCAAGAAATAGTGACGGCACTGTTGAACCCTGTCTCGTCTGTGGTGATGTCGCCTCAGGTAGATTTTTTTTAAAACTATCACAGATATGTGAATTTGTATTAATTGAATGGTCAAATCTCTTCAAATCTAAAACTTGGTTTGCTTTTTTGTCCATGCTAGCTGAAGGACACTCTGCAACCAGGCAACGTGGAGGGTTTTACAAGATTATTTCATCCTGACTTACTAAATTCTTTGTGCCGGTCATATAGCCTTTGATTTGGTTCAGTTATCCATGTTTTAACGTTTTCTTTGCGCATAAAAGCTGCCTAAACTACATTCTTGTGAACATCGAAATTCCTTATTTCACATTGTACTATCACGTGGTAGTGAATGTGCCTTTACTCAGGAATTGACGGTACTTCACTGACGGACTAACCCGGAAGCGCATTCAAAGGGGTACTTGCTCAGATAGGTCTTTGTTTTTCTATATTCACATTAGGATTACGACTGCGCACTTGCGAAATGCAGTAACCTAGGTGACGACATACGTTTGTCGCGCCACGTGAACCTCATACTTTGTGTACGTGTGCGCCGCCACAAAACCAGCGTTATCTCTCCCTCTACCTCCGTGTAGGTCGTCACTACGGTGTCATCTCGTGCGAGGGCTGCAAGGGCTTCTTCAAGCGCTCCATCCGGGGCCACGTGAACTACGTATGCCGGAGCAACAAGCATTGCATAGTCAACAAGGCCTTCCGGAATCGGTGTCAGTACTGTCGTATGCAGAAGTGTCTGCTGGTGGGCATGCGGTCGGAGGCGGTACAAAACGAGCGACGTCTGGGCACCACGATGGCTCCTACCACCACCGTCTCGTCGTCGTCGCCCTCTATGGGCGCAGGCCAATTCCCACGACTCAGTCTCGACTCCGACCAGCCCCCGCTGCTCATCGCCTCGCACAATGATGATAGTGGTATCAGTGGTGGCGGTGTTAACCTACACGGTATCAGCGGAGAAAAGGCCACCCATAACTGCTCCTCCGCTTCCTCCTCTCCCCTCCCACCCACATCTTCGGTTTCTCCCGAGACTTCGCTTGCCGACGGTGAAGTTAGACCTAATCCTCCGCAAGTGAGTGTTGTTTGGGTATAAGACCAGTCCTGCAGTTGATCCTAGAGACTAATGGATATAAATTGAGTGCAGCTCTATTACAACTTTAGAGGGTTATGTAACTAGCAGGATGAGCGAAATCCCATGCTATCGGGGATTTGAAAGAGTCTACTTGTCCAGATGTATTGTTTTGTTGCATATCATCCTCCCCTTCCCCCTGCGCCTGGTCAGTAACTGTGTGATCTTTAGATTCCTTTGCTGCCCAAACCGGCCACATCTAACGTGGAAACACCGCCACCGAACGTAACTTTGGCTGCTACGCAGCCATCACAACAGCAGGTGAATTTGAACGAGATAGCGGCGATACTTGCGGCACATCAGAAAGTCTTGCCGGCGGCTGTTGCGCCCATTTCAGTCTCGCGAAACGCTGCAGCAGCTCCAAACAACGTTACCTCCATCTACAGCGCAATCCTCGCCTCCACAGTGACGTCGCTCGCCTCTCGCCTCTCCGACGCCAACGTCAACTCGAACTCTATCACCGGCTTGCATTCGCAGATTGTCAACCATCCATCGGCTCTCCAGATACCACCGCCACCGCCACCTCCGCCGCTCCCACCACCCGTGAATAGATCCACCAACTTATTGAACTTGTTGCGTACCAAGGTGGATCACGATCAGGCTGAGATGCCGCTAAACGCTGTCCTCACTGCCGCTGCGGCTGTTGCCACTAATCCTATAACGGAGAACGGAGTTTGCAGTAATACGAGCAAAGCTGCGAATACTACGCCATCAAGTGGTTTCGGTAAGTTGGCAGAGTCGTTACGGCTCCTCTACGGCATTTAAAATATGCCATTATCGGTCATTATTGTTAGCCTAGGTTACTGTTTTGTAGCCTCGTGTTATTCCTGGTAAGGCTACAGAACAATTTTCTATAAGACGAAGATTCGAGAGTCTAGTAGGGTGGATAATGTAGTCATATATATTTAAAAGCAGAATCACGGAAGATTGAAGAGGCGTATGCAGTTAAAATATACATGATTTTGATGCAGTGAAATTTTGTCCAAATTAGGGCAAAATTTTACTACGTCTTCGGCTTTCCTAGGTAGTTAGGGCGTCCTCATTTTATCCACTTCCCGTTTCCAAAACTTAAGCCGATTTTCACGAGAACTTTTAGCCAACCAACTCATTTATGCGTTACGCATCTTCAGTTTGAGTCTGAAAGTATGTTTACCGTAGATGTTCGGAAGGACCCAGAAATTAGTAGTGTGGGTGGAAGATCGACGTGGTCAAGGGACGGCAGAATGATCACGTCTTGTTCATGCGACTGAAAATCGCCTTTTTAATGCATAATCTTTTGGGAATTAAACATTGGTATTGTCATACCCTCTTTTTTTCCAAACACCTAAGAGTTTCCCATTATACCCACTCTAATTTCGAGTGCTGATAGAGAGATTTTTTGGTATTACGGTAATAATCTAGCACTTTTTATGGTCATTGCTGTACTCCTCATTATTCGCTGTTTTCTGAATTATAGTCAAGTGTGTAATCCAGAAAAAGTGGTTTTGGCACACCGGTGCTTGGTCCAAAATTCGTTAACTTGTAGGCTAAGGATCATAGATCGCATAAAGTAGAAGCCGATTTATCGGATAAAGCGAGCCAACTAGCTATATTCCATTTTTTATCTCTATCCACGAAGTCGAGGTGACGGTGGTACCGTCCCCATCAGTAAACCAGAATGGCAACCCTTTGGTGGGTCAGACGATTGCGCAGACAACCCCAAGTCCGAGTCCGAGCAACGCCTCATCGACTTCCTCTCGGCCTACCAGTCGGAGCTCGCGCAAGCGACGCATCAATAGCGGCACGAGCGGAGCCTCCAGTCGGAAGCGCACCAACACTACCACCACCGCGCCTGCCGCAGCACCGAACACACAGCCACAGTTGGAGTTACTGACCACGGAGAATCCCCCTCTCCATGAAATGGCCTCCCGTGTCCTTCTTGTCACTGTCGATTGGCTGAAGCGGTGCGGACCTCTCGACCAGCTCCCGTGAGCGCAGTTCTCTGTCACAATCTCTTGCTATCATCGCACTGGTATTGTCTTATGCAATCACTGCGTATTGACTAGAAAGAAGACTGTTATGGGTTTCTTTTGCTGACAAATTGGTATTTTTTAGCTCTTCAGAAATGCATACATTCATGAGGCCTAATTCTACAATCAGGGTACAAACCGCACGTATCCTTAATGCGTTTGGGTATTGATACCCAAAACCGATCCATTTAACGCGTACTAGATCAACCATCAAATAACTTTAGTGAAGAGACTTGATATTTATTTGCGTGCTTACAGCCACCCACAGTTTTTGGCTTACAAAGTAAATAGATGGTTGGGACCTATGTTGCGGGTCAGAAGGCCATTTTCTCGCCTCCAGTCTCCAAGATCTAATATCCTATTCTGGAATACTTGGTACTTTTTTCGCCCACCCTTTCATCAGTAATAGTTCAACAAAATGCCAAACTTTCCACAGATTCATTCATACCTTGTTCTAGCTGATTTTTAACTTAGTATCTTAATTTACTCAGTTGCGGAAATTACCGACTCGAAGATCACTGAAACACATGGCCATCCATGATATCGGCCGTTCTCTTAACTACCCTGCCAAGCCACCCGATTTGCATGGCATACTATCAGGCATGGTTCTATCGCGAGGCTCTCAAATTGCCTACATGCTAGAATAAGCGATCAAATGAGAGGTCAAATCACGTGCTTGATCCCTGCATACTTTGCATGCAATTCCGTTGGGTCAGCCTGCAAATTCTGGTTGTGTGCGTTCATGCTTGGGTGCGTGGGCGCATATTGTTGACCTCAGTTGAATCCGATTGCTCAGTGACCTCCGCCCCCTCAGGTTCCACTTTGACCTGCGAGGTCAGGTTCGCGAATGTGTATATACATCCATGCAAGCACCCAACATGGACAGGGAGGATAAACGTAGCTCTCCTGGGGTCACCTCCTGACCTCATTGGCCATTTTAAATGATCAGTGAAAGTCACACCGCTTCTGCTACTACTACTGCTACTGAGCAGAGGAATTTTTTCCGTGCGCAAAGTTTCGTCAACCTTGGACACGCGCGTCCTCTAATAGGTGCCTGACCCAGCTTCACGAAAACAACCTATTGTTATTTACCAAGTCGGGGAGGGAGGATGGGACGGGGTGGCGCTGAACATCTGTTCGCCTCGAGTGTTTCTGGGGTGTGTGTGTGTGTGTGTGATTGTGCCTTCATTCAAACCCGTTGTGTCGCGTACATGTGAGCTTGTTGGTCGTGTCAAAACAAAGGCTTCGGCGGGCGGCGGTGATGAGTGGGGAGAGAAGGGTGGTGGTTCGAAGCGGGTGCGGTATGGCGCAGAGTTGCGCGCATCGTTTGCGGACATGCGGGCCCTATCGATGACACACAGAGCTTGCATACGCACGCATACGTCCGCTGACTAATTGTGTCTAGCGCCTGGTGTGACGTGCACAAACTTGACCCGTCTTCCAAGGCCTCTCGAAGTATTCACTCAGTTCGTAAAAAGACTGAAATTGTCTTTGAGCTGCTATCTTTGCTAGGCCTTTTGAGATTGATAGTCAGCTCCCAAACCCCGTATTTCAGATCCGATCTCCAGAATGAGTTGATCGCCCTCTCCTGGGTGGATCTATTTATGCTGGGTCTCTGTCAGATGTTTGGCCGAAGATTGGGCAACTTGAGAATGGAGTTCTTCGGCTCGAACCAAGACGATGGCTGTGGAGTTGACGCCCACCCAATGAAGTCAGATTTTAATTCAATCGTATCCGGCTTCAGCAGAGCTGAAGTTACCCCCGAAGAATACACCTACCTTCGTTACATGGCCTTGTTTAATTCTGGTAAACTATTTTAATGGTTACGAATAGCTACTGATATTTGATCAGTAACACTAACAGGGTTTTTTAATTACAGGAGGAGTAAGAACGAATGATGCAACCGGCTTGAATCGAGTTCGGGAAATCGAACAGAAGGTTCAAGTAGAATTCGCTGGCTTTCTTAGCGAAAGCGAATCGCAGAAAGTCAATGACGACGGAAACCAGCGACCGTTTGAAGTTCAGACCGCCTCTAGAGGCCTTCAACTGATGGGCCTGGTTTGTGGTCTTCGTCGAGTCACCAGTGTCGATATCGGCCGAGTTTTCTTCCCAAGTAATTAGTCACTATTTATTTTTAGGTGTCAAAGGCCATTATCATTTTGAAATCAAGGTTATTAATGATTCATGCACCAAAAAGTCACTTAACGTACGATACGACAATAGCTATAAGGCTGCTATTTTGGACCAAAATTATCGGCAACTTAAATTAATTTGATTGGTAGTTATGTGATGAGGAGCTCTTAGCTCAATTGCTAGTACGGATAAATTAGTCTGCTGATCTCGTGATGACTTGAGGGTGGTTAGGGTTTTGTGCACTTGCTTTACATGTTTACTCTTTCGGGTATGTGCTTTCAAACATGGAACTATGGTGGAATTGAAACTTTTCTGAGCTGGAGAGGGAGTCGGCTACAGCCCATTTGAATGAGGGCTGGTTTTGTAGTCTTAACCACTTCTAATGGACATACCACCCACTGGTCTTTGGACTGAAGCATGTGGGCAGCATTAAACTAGAACCAGCACTATGCTATCGCACTTTGTTTTTTAGGCATTTGTGAAAAGACACCTATCGACAAGGTGATTGAAGATCTTTTGCAAGTTGGGCGCAACAAAGCTGTCGCAAGCACCCTCGGTGTCGTTGCTAAGGTCATCGAACAGCCTACCGAGAATACCACCCCCCAGATACCACTTATAACCACCACCGCTATGGCCACCAACAACTCCGAAGAACATGGGAGCCTTTCAGAACATTCAAATTCTACCGGCCTCACAAGGCAGCAGGAATATGAAAAATTGGTTCAGAAAGCAAAGAGGGAGAATGAGGAGGTGACGGCGGAAGAGGATGACGAAGAGGATGAGGAGGTTCCGTTGACCATCGAGGAGAAACCACAGTCTCCCTATCAGTGCAAACCCTCACCGCCTGGCTGATAGCCACTCCAATAAAGCGCCACATACCCAAAGCAGATGTTGTCTTTTCGATTGTGTACATTTTCAAACCTATCCCCTTAGTCTTCATCCCAACGGCTTTCTACTTATGTGTGCCTGCGCCTGCAGATCCCTTTCATATCAGGACAACAAACAGACTAGCAGGCAGAGCTAAACAGAAAATAAGATTATGCGCGCCAGCACCTGGCGGTACGGCCGGGGTCTTTCTGCTGATGTTGATAATCCTTCCACTCCCCCTTTTCTGTGTCTAGGCTAACAAGCTCTGTATGTACCTATCAAGATATATCAAGGGAGAAGAAAGCGATGTATTTTGCTCGTTTTTATTTGACCTTTGTTATGCTGTTTTAATCGAGGTGGGCAGATGTTGCTTAAAAATGTAAGATGGATCCAGTGGTGTGAGATTCATTCAATGTAGAGGTGTGGAAGGGTTTGTAGCGGGTGAAAACGTGACCTCATCGGTGATGCTGGATTGGTTATTAGTTGATCGTTTGGGTGTTGGGGTGGTGGATGGTAATCCAGTGTTTTGCTGGACTTATTTGCGTGGAACTCAGTGGTCTTGATCCGTTAATGCTGTGGCAGACTCAGTTGCAGAAACCTTTCTACCACTCCCTCAAGTTAAGCTTAGACATACTCTCAACCACTGCTTATTATACAGTATGTATCTACATCTGACAGAGTTTTTGAGATATCCTACTACATGTCTATGAACGTGAACTGACATCTGTTCATCGTAACCCAGGTTATTACCACTTTATTCACTCCGTATAATGATTTTTTCAATCCATTGAGTACCATTTTTTAGGACATTTAGCACAAATAACTAGTTAGAATGGTGTTATGCGATAGACAACCCCCACCGACTTGTCTTATTGGGGATGGATAAAAATATCATTTAAAAACTGGCAGTGACATCAAGTATTTATTACGATTTACTGAAGTTGAGTAAGTTGGACAAGTTCGTATGGTCGCTAAAGGCCTCACTGCCTTTCGCCCACCTACTGTGACTGTTGCTCTTGCTCCTGCCCCTCTTCGTGTTCTTGAAGCTTCTCCCTCTCCCGAAGATCCATCCACAGATCCTCCTTGGTGGCACCGGCTGTGAGGTCGAACACCTTACTCATGACTGCATGTGTCTTCTCCGTTAGGCTTGTAGCATCGGCAGAAGTGAGACCCTCCGTAGAAATGGGTGCAAGGATGTAGACCGCGTAGGCGGCTAACAATGGGGAGGGTAGAGATGGGATCCAGGCAGGTTGTAAGATGAAATACACAAGCTACTTATATATGCAAATAGCAAGACTTCTAGTGGGTAGGCAATTGTTGGAAAAGTACACAAAGTGAGGTGTACGTCTAATTTCGTGAACAAAATTGGAACATTGACATAACCAATATCCTACAAAATAGACCTACTGAAATTGGTGAAGCACACACTACAATACGATATCAATATGGGGTTTCGAAGGGCAAAAATTATTGCAAAATTTATAGAGGAAATAACTATTCAAAATATAGGTTTAATGCGAAAATTGTTCCACAGACTAATTCTAAATTGACGTAAAAAATATGAAGTAGTCAAAGCTACACTCAGATCCTAGAGAAGGTAAAGCGCTGCCTATTGGTGATAAAAGGTTACCAACATCTTGTTAGACTGGTAAGCGAAAGGTAGCTCAACCCTCATAATCGACGGCCTTTCCACATCACCAGCCCATTGTTTGGGTCGACTGACCCAAACACATAAACACAAGTTTATTCTCTGTAAGATTCATGTAAACAAATCACACCATACTTCAAGCCCGTTCTGCAATTTACACTCACCTTTTTCAACAACCCCACTCGCCTACTTAAACCAACATTTCGCGTTAAACGTTTCACTTGCATGTGCTACCGTCTTTAAACTAATTAATAGAAAGTTCGATGGCAAAACGAGGTCAGAGACTAGAATTCCGCCCCGTATTGTTAAAAAGGGAAAAGCTTCAAGTAAAGTTCGGATATTTGCTATACTCAGTTGGCTAATAACTTGAAGAGAGCAGCACACGACAGATTAAGAAGGGAATGAATCACCACCAAGTTAGAGGCGTCTTAAAAGGCAGGCGCTATTGGTGGCCATTCGGTGGAACCGCAATAATTCAGTTGGTCGCTCAAAGTTTCATAAGTTCAAACAACAAAATAAACTTCTGTTTGCCTGAATCATAAGGGCAAATTACTGAAACAAAGCATAGGAGTGTCGAATTCTAAATCCTTACACAAGTTAAGCAGTAATGGAGTTAATTTAGCTCACAATTAATGCGGCTATCGAGACAAAAAGCCCGACCTTTAATTTGGTTAAACTTATTTTACAATATGCAACATGTTTATTTCATTAATGGCAGAGGTGAAACAACGAAAATTATAAACAGCAATGCACCAATGTATACACTCTAGGAAATGGACAGACTAATGTCATTTTGCTGGTCCTGAATGTACATGTTACCCTAGTAATAAAGAAAAATAGATCTTGAATACAAGAGCGGAAAGGCCTCTAAAGTTGTTAATGCGTTTTTGAATAGTGTGTAGCTCGCTTGAGCATTAAATCACCATTAGACCTGTGCAGATAATTTGGAAAATGCTAAGAGATTGCATCACATTAATCACGGGACCAAATTACACAGGAGATATAAAAGGCCTAACGCTACCTATTCTTAAAGAGGAATTTCCAGACTTGGCAAATCACAGAAAAATCAAAAGATTGGGTTCCATGAAAAAAATCAGCCGAAGCGAAGGTGTAACGATCTTACTACCGCTGAAGGGGAAGAATCAAGAGTAAAGAGAGACCCTAAGTCCACATCACTTTGGTATCGGGATTACAGCGTAGTGACAAGCCTTGGCTTGACAAGGTACATTCTCAGGCCTTACTATGAAAATACATAAGATCTCGCTAACGCATTCACACCTTTTTTCTATTACTGTTACATCTCTGTATCAGCATTAATAAAGATGAAAAACACTGAGCTTGACAATTTCTCTGTTTACTCACTCGATTAACATCCTAAGTTTGCCTCCTGAAAGCAAAGATACATCACTGACGGGAGGCAGTTTTAGTGCAAATAAAGCAGAAACACTTTTTTTATCAACTTAATAAGCAAGTATTTGTTCAACATCATAACATTTTATTTAAAAAATGAGCAAGGAGAACTGAGAGTGAGAGAAATAAAGCCAAAGCGCCCTATTAAACAGATTTTTAAAGACATTTTGGAATAAAAGGCACAAGAATAGAACCTACAGTCGAATTAGTCCCCATATTTAATTGAAAAGTACGTAACAGGGTTGGAAGACTTCAGAAAATGCAATGCATGATGTTTTTCTGGCGTGTGATAAGACATGACTGGAAAGGTGCATCGTAATGATCGGCTACGAAAGTGCAGTCGAGACTTTTGTAGAACATGGCTTTCCGAGCTTGGTAGTTGGAACAAGTGTTTGTATAAACAATGTCCAGGCATGCATTTACTCCAACTATGATGGCTTGACCCCCAAAATGAAGTCTGGGCTCATTTCTTCCAAAATATCCAAGACAATAGTTTAACTTGAACTGAACCAAAGTGCCATGACTACAGTATGCTTAAATTGAGACTTGTGGATCTTAGCACCCAATCCTGAGGTCTTGCCTAATCTTTCCGAAAATGAGTACTCAGTGAAAACACTTTTCCGATTTCGGAGAAAGATGAAAATGATCGACTTGAAAAACCGCAATTACCTGATATTTTTTAAGGAGAGCAGGAAAGTCAAAATTCTTGAAACACTAAACTAGGCAAAATACCGAACACATGGCACAAAATAGTGCTGGTATACAATAAACTCTAACAACTGACATAATGACAGTTGCTAAATAAGAGTACAGACCTCTCAACGATTCAATGGGTGATAAGGATGAAATCCATTATCGTCTGTCTTAAAAATGTTTTTTGTGAAACGAATCAATTATGCAAAACGCCGTATTACAAGGTCTGATTTTAGTAAATTTATAGTGAATTTCTAGTTGAGTACAATTTTTAGACAGAAAAGCATGAAAAAGGATAAAAGGACTTTATTGTGCATTTGTTAATTTCATTAAAAGTGGGGAACCGAATATTTGAAGCGAGAAATCTGAAGAGGTTATCTTATTTATGTAGACTGTTCCTTATTAGGGCACAAATTTTCTAAAACAAGATAACTTGAAACTTCAAACACTGTGAGGCTGTGACTAGTCCAAAGGGGTTTCACTACATTGGATATTGGCTGCGATGAATATTGCAATAGTATAGGCAGAGGGGTGATGTGCATGATGTACTTGTAGGTGCACCAGAAAAGGAAAATTAGGAAATTTTCAAGTTCATTTCAAAGATCTTACACCCCACTACTGCATTTTTTATGCCATTAAAACCGATTACGCAATGGATGGGGGATTGCTACTGCGCGGTTTGCGAGAGCTGAAATCGCGAAATTAAGGCAAAAATTACTCATAAGGGAATAAAATTAGAGGAGTGGAAAGGAATGGCGGCAAAACAAGAAACACTACAGAGAGATTATGAATTTTTTGGGAAGAGAAAGCCACACGTAAAGAAGACAACAGTCGACACAGGTAGACAAGGATCAGAAACTAAATTATTCCAATCCCATTAATGATTCCACTCCATCAAAAAAGCTGGTTTTGAATTCAAAATTAATCAAACATAATTTACCGTCATCAAAAATCTTATTCTTGTGATCAAGAAAGGAGTTGTAGCAGGAAATAACCACGGGTACGATTGGAAGTTGTGTTTGAATCGCAAGGTGAAAGGCACCTTTCTTGAAGGGCAATAGTCGACCACTATAATTTCGGGTTCCTTCTGGGAAAATAAACATGTTTACCTAAATATAATTTTAATAAAAGCGGGAGTGTGCCAAGTTACATGTTCCTTTTTGACCATCCTGACTGCTTCACGCATAGTTTTCATTGCTTTTGCGTGGTCATTTCTAACAATCGAAAGGATTCGCATGAAGTGGATCATTGGCCAACCCAGCCCATAGAAACGAAGAGAATCCTTTACAATAGACGACGAGGGCTCACGCCATAGGTGAGAAATGACTGAAAATCATAAATGTTACAAAAAGTTGTCCACACCTATGGCATCGATGAAACTCTGATGGTTAATAACATAAATACATTGACGGTGCATATAGCAATTCTCCAACCCATATAGTTTCGGTCGCAGGCCAAGTACACATTGAGACAGGTGAAGAAGAGGCATAACATCACTTTAAAAGTGACAATTAGTTAATAGAAACCCCACCAACTATTTGCAAAGGATGGCTTTCCTTTAATCAAGAAAGTGAGTGTAAAGAATACTGAGCCAACATTCAAAATGAGGCCAAGGGCGAAATATTTTACGTAGTAGCGCACAATTGGAATCTTGCAGATGATGTAAAAGACGGTTAGAATCGAAATTAAAAGCAGTAGCCAGACTGCATCCATCCCAGATCCAGCCTAAAACAAATAACAAATACTCTGTAAACTATGTGCCTGCAAAATACGATGCATTAGCGTTATCCTGTTATTTTGCGCGTTGTACTTCAAAATTGCACCTTCAACGAGTAGCTACACACAAATTCTTGGTAGTGGAAGTGTTCAAGAGAGATGAATTTACAAAAGCATGTCACAGCATAAAAAACTAAAAGGGACCTATAACAAGCAAATGAAATGGCTCATTAACCTAAACATTATAGGTACAAGTACACATATACCGACTTGAAAATGACAGCTAAAATCGGCATGAGATCAACTTTCATAAATATTCATACCAGATCTATTAGGTCTAAGTGTAGGGTCTGACATGAAAGTCAATAATATTATTCAATATAACTATATGTAAACGCTTATTCCGGAAAATCGAGTGGATACGCTTTTGCTAAGATCATCCACTGAGCCCATTTAGGAGTTGCAAGGCGAATTTCTCTGGGAAATTTCATTTTTTATGCAGTAGATCATTTTAATAAACATGGTAAAATTGCTCTATTATTTCACAAAAACCTACAATTCCGCAATATTCAGATTACCACACAGCAGGTGATAACCTTGAAATAGCGTGAAAAATGTTTTCGCAGTTTCTTGAGTTATCTGTGATAGAAAACTGCAACCGCAGCCATTTAAGGGCTTTACAATCATCAAATTCATTTATTTGCATCATTTTGGCAGTTTGAATGACAGAGCACTTGGAGGAAGATTCGGATTCATAAGGACATTAATTATATTCAAAACTCGTTTTGAAGTAGTAAGCCTTGATCAGTTTATAAATTTTGCAATAATTGATTAACCAAATTCCTGCTTTTACAAACATCGGCTGCAGCATTGTTGTACATGAATCACAACAACGAAAAGTATAAAAGATACCCTCTATTATAACAGCAAAAGTCACAGCATTTCTTCGTTGGAGTTTTTAGGTTAGAATTTTGAAATTAAACCTAACCTTGGTGTTATATACTTGCCATACTATTCTGGATTATCGCGATTTTAGGGTCGGGGTTCCCTAGTTATGTGATTTCTACTTTTCTCATAATGAGATGTGGTAAATAAGTCGGTATCGAGAAACCAGGAGGATATCAACATGTCTTCTGAGTCATGCGTCAGATCAAGGGTACAATCTATGAGGCTTCCAAAGTACCAAAGCAGTGCATGGTTTTCCCCCCTTGCTCACTCAGTCTTCTCTGTCGGTCATTACGGCATAGTCGATGCTCTAAAAGCCGTCCACTAACTAGGAATGGTATTCAAGTTTTCTGCATAAGAGGGGCTAGCGATACTTTACAAGGGGACCATAGTACGAAATGCCAATGTCTGTTCAAAAGGTTGGCTTAGAAGTGGAATTATTTAATGAGGGCTGCTATTTGAAGTAGTTTCACGAAGCCGGTATTCTGCATCTCCTCCTCATTGATACTTCATTCGCATTTTGACAAGGCTTGCAAAAGTAGAAAAGGCAAGGAGGCTATTATTAATGGCCCGAGAGCCATGCCGGAGAATGGAAGTACGGCAAGTGAAGCTTGAGGAAGTCGCGTAGTCAAGCGTAAAGTTTAACAAACCACCAGACCTGTACAATGATGCCTAAGTATAAGTTAATGAATAACGACTTTTTACGTCGATTCAATACTAAAATTTACTTCTGCCAGTGACACGAAAGCCACTAGTAGCGCCCACGGTGGTCATGTAACAATGGGCTATTGGAGTGTACATTTTGCCTCAAATTTGCCAGGTTATTTGCATACTTATTAAAAAAGCATGGGTTCTAATTCAGGAAGTAGAAATCGTGGGTTCTAAGTGGAAGTATCTTATTAGTCCCTTAGAACACTTAGGCCATGCTAATCACCAAGTTCAGTATTTTATAAGCGTGAAGTGTTTACCATTTTCAATCATTGGTAAATTTTGGGAAAGCTTAACCCTTTGACGGGAACAATCCCAGTGTCTATGGCACTGGAGCGATTTCGGTGATAAATTTTGTTAAAACGAATTCAACCAAGGGACCCGTTAATCTCGTACCGTTGCACATAGACGCTGTTCATAGAACCAAATGCACTGCATTTCCTATCAACTCATTAGGGTTAGCTCAACATCGCTCCCTACGGCACCACTCAGACATCTGCATGCGAGGATACTTCTCCAAATCCTTCATTTGAGAGATTTAAACAAAACCAGGATGAAAAGAATCGGCCATAAACACTATCTCACGCGACCGCAGGATACACACCCCCACCTCATTTGAGGGCCAATATTTGCAGCTACACGGGTAGAGTATGGCAAATACACCTTGGCCGCCCACGACGAAGAGATGAGGAATTTCGCCTACTCAGATATAGCACCGACCCCGAATGCGTATATGAACGGATGCGACCAGACGCTTCAAAACTAACATCGCAGATCTTAAAATGCGGTTCCGCAGAGCCGACCACCAAAATTCCGACAAGCAAAGTCCTCTGTTGAAAAAATTTTAGGTGAATGTGGCTAATTACCACTCCCAAATAGGAGATATATGCTGATTCACCGACATTCAGGCAAGCAGAAAGGGATTAGTAGAAAAGAGAAAACGGGTGGGGGGAGGGAGAAGGGGAAAATGGCTGCAGTCATATTAACAAATGAATTGCAAATCGTCGCAGGTACCGATCAAGGTAACGTGGAATTGGAAACGGCATGGAAGGAAGGGGTGCGGAAGATCAGCCCAACTTTCTTCGAAGATCCTTGCCCAACTCCTCGAGCGAGGCTCGCACCGTCCGATTGAAGACCTCGGACATGGCCAGGTACGTTCGCTTCACCAGCTCATCTACCTGAGACTTGTCCATTCCGACCGTGGAGATGGGAGGAAGCAGATAGATGCTGTAAGGCACTGGAAGGGAGTGGATAGTAGACAACTTTTTGAGCATTTCGAACTTCCAAAATCAGAAAATTTCACTAGTGGGTCCGACCATTATGGTGAAAAATAACACGGTACATATGGGCTCTGAAATTTCAAGATGCTTTCAATAAATCCCAATAAACCTCAGGCAATTGTGACAGTTCGAGGTAATGTAGAATTGAAAAAGCAATTCAACACACCAGAAAACCTCGTTTTGAATAGATTCAATTATTGAAAAACGTAAATTAAAATAGTGCTTGAAAATGGATAAAGTCTTGTTGCTAAGACGGCGGTAAAGCAGTAATAGCAAAAGCCCAATTGCGGATTTGGAGACAGCTGTAAGTCAAAAAATTATGGCGCGAAAACTATACTGCAAATATTTGACCTGGACTTCCGACAAATTTCACTGTAGACTATCGAGTTAATTACCAACTTTAAAAGCTTGTTCAGGTGCCTATGACAATAAGTAATACAAGACGCGTCCCTATAGCATCAAGAGACAACAGACAACCGCTTAGATAGGTTTGACCAACAGTAACCACTGACTAAATAGTGATAAAACCGTAATATTGGTGAATTCATAAGCTGACAGAAATGAGATCATATGACGTGACAAGGCAATTAACGAAGTGAAGAACAGGATTGCCCGAATGAAATGCGAATCGTGTCCGCCGGTTTTAGCACACGAAGTTCGTGCCCAATAAAGTGCAGTGTTTTGAATAACAGACCAAACATTAGACATGTACCATAGCAGCCGCGAAACGAACTTCAAAAGAACAGATTAACGCTTAGATCAAAGGGTATGCAAATTCACTAGATCCACTTCTTACTTGAGAGTCAGCATGGGAATAAGTACTTTAAGGTCTCCACTTAGTGGACGGTTCTTCATATACACGCACATATGAAGGTATTTTTACACTCATAATAGAAATAGTTTAATATTGAAAAAAAAGGAGGTAGTCCTTTACCCTCCACTAAACAGGGCAATCTTCACCACCAGACAGGATGCAGCTTAGAGAAGCAGCCATACAGCTGGAACATTGGTGTCTACGCTTATCAAATCGCGAATCAGTCTACGGTATCATATTTTCGCAAATTCAGCTGCCGTACAAAAGCAGTTCAAGTACGCGGAAAAGGCAAGCTCCGCAGGGGAGCAAAACACACCTGGAGTAAGGGAGAACCTCTTGTGATCGAGGAAAGAGTTGTAGCAAGAAATGACGACGGGTTGGATAGGGAGATGAGTCTGAATTGCCATATGAAAGGCGCCCTTCTTGAAGGGCAGCAAATGACCTGAACAGTTCCTTGTTCCCTCAGGGAACACAAAGAGACTGACCTGAAGAATGATGAGTATCCAATCTGTGGCATAAAGTATTAGCAAGAGTGTTTAATAAACCATTTCGTAACCATCTCAATAAGGGAGTTTAAAAGTATCAGTGTTAAGGCAAACCGAGATGAATGGAGTAAAAGTATTGTCCCAGACCACGATAATTTCGAGGATTCCACGTTAATTTATTGTGCAACGACAGTCATAAAATTTTAAAGGTTTGTATTTTCTACTGCCAATTCCAATTAACCAATAAGTAAAGTTGAAATAAACAATAGGTCGACAGTTGCAAATGTTGAAAAATGCAAACCTTATCGTTCATAATTTGCTCAGCTGCTCGGTTCATTTCGGAGATAGCCTTTTCGTGGTTAGAGCGATGAATGAGGATGCATTTGGTGTAATAGAGAATGGCTCCAAGTGGACCGAAATACCTCAAAGTATCCTTTGCAATAACAGTTGAGGGAAGCTTCCAAACGTCTGTGAGCGCTAATAAGGGCAAGACGCTTGTCAGATAGCATTCAAAAAGCATTTAGAAAACAGGTGTTTTAATATCCGAGCGAACTTACACAAGACATCGATGAAGCTTTGATGGTTAGCGATGTAAATATATTGTTGTTCGGGGTCATAAGTCTCCAGACCAAAGATCCGCGGTTGAAGACCCATTAACGTGCGAGCCAGTCTATAAACTTTCATAAACTCGCTATAAACAAATGGAAAGGGACGATTAGAAAAAAAACTAACCAGCTATTCTCATAACGTGGTTCTCCTTTGAGAAAGAACTTGAACGCATACACAACCGAACCGACGAACACGACAGAGGCGTAGATGAAATAGGCCAAAAAATAGTGCACACGTGCCCGAGTAGCAGGAATGACAATCATCAAGAGGACAAAACTGATGGCTAGTTGCCAATACATCCTGTGGAGGATAAAATAGTAGAAAGATGGGCTAAAGTAGAGCAATTATAGCCGATTAGACAGGCTTGAAACAAAAATACTTTTGCAAGCTTGGGGAGCAGGCAGAGGCAAAACACAAGACATTATGTTTAGAGCATATAAAAGTAACTATAAATTGCTCCTGGGAAGCTGATTA